GATGGCCAGGAAGGACTCTGCTCCTCTCTGCATGCCTCAGGAGCAGCCAGGGAGAAGAGCCATCACCATCTACTCACTTCTTAGCTCCTGGCCTCCGGGGTACAGCCAGTGGGCTTGGTCAGATATTCACAGGGCCACGTTTCCCTAGCAGGGAGGGGTGGCTACACTGACAGCTGATGTAGTTGGTAAACCCATTTCTCCTCAGGACGTGAGTGGGCAGGTCAGGCTGAGCTGGTCTGCCCCAGACCCAGAGAGGAGACTGAGACTAGGCAGTTATGCTTCGGTCTGACCTGGCTATAGGCTCCAACCCAGCTTTGCCAGAAAGGCACTTCATTGGGAATACTGAGCATGGGATTAGGATCTGGTTTCCTAGTAGTCTATGGTCCTTGTGTGCAAGAACCCCACAGAGGAGGAAGGAAGCAAGGAAGGGACTCAGGCACCCAAAGCTCATCACTCCAACACTCACCAGGTTTGACCCTGGGGTCTGGGGGCCCAAGACCTGTATACTTTGTGTTCCCATTGCCAATATCCCTTCTTCTTGAGACCTCCTCACTCTAGGTCCTGTGTGCTTTCCACACCCTGTGTTGCTTCTCTAAGGAACCATGCAGACTCAGCTCAGCCATGGCGACTGCACTTCCCTTCACGTGGAACGTTCCGGCTACAGCTCTGCGGAGAGTGTAAATATGGTCTTTATAGAGATGAGGCCGGGCGCTACTCCACTCAGAGCCTTGGTGCTGCTGAGTTAGTGTTGGCCTGGTGCTCTGGGCAACGCTGCCCTTTCAGAAGAGCAGCCAAGAGAAATACTGGCTGGGCACTTTGCACTGTTCCAAAGGGAGAGCCCTGCCACTGCACACCAAAAATGCAGTTTCATTGACAAAAAAGATTTCCATTCTTCATTTCAGTTTATCTTTGGGGGTCTCTCCACTGAAGCTGTGACTTTTTAAATGTGCTTTGTGGAAAACATCTACCAGTAAGTAAATCCTCGTACATTTAGTCTTGCAAATTCAAAAGCAAACACAGTAACTTGCTTGTGTGTACGTGGTTGCGGGTAGGTGGGGAGTGGACAATGTCAAAACCAGCAGCTTTCATCCAGCACAGAAAGGAACGAGAGAACCCGCACCGGCACCTGCCCTGGGTGGCCTCACGCTGGTGCTCCTGTACCTGAGGCCCCCAGAACCGGCGGGTTCATTCCCCCTGTGTACAAAAGAAGAGACTGAGGCTCAAGAAGCTTCCCAAGGACACACGGTGAGGCGATGAGGTCACCAAGATTTGAGCCGAGGGCTCCTGACTCCTGTATTTACCTCGGTTACAGATTTCTCATCAAAGTAGGACATTTTGAATCAGCCACTTTAATGGAGCCACAGGATAGTCTTACTGCTGCACTTTCTGCTCCTCAATCATTTTACTGCTGCCAGTTTTCCATGCTAAGGAGTCTGTCTGACTCATTTTCATCCACAATTTAATTTTCTGACCTTTGCCGCTGGTGCCTTTAATGTAAAAAAAGGGCGTGTTTCAGCGCAGGAGGTTTGTTAGCGTCCTGCTCTAAAAGGTTTCCGAGGGAAAACTGTCTGGAAATGTGGTTGCTGCTGATAGAAGCTGATGGGTCCTGAGTATCATGCCAAGTGCAGAGCGCAGGGGACATGGAGAATTTTTTTGTAACAAGAGAAAATACTAAATACCTCTTTATTAGTTTATTCCTACTCCATGATTCTAGAGAGGATGTCATACCTAAAAGCCTTAAAGGAAAGAACTGCCTGATTTGCCCTAAAGATTAGAAAAAAAAAGAAAGAAAGAAAGAAAGAAATTCTACATTATCAAAAGATACTAAAATAGTTGAAAATAGGCAAAGGACACCAAAAGGTAAGCAAAGTAGAAAAATAAATCACCAGTAAAGATTTTGGAAAGGTATTCATACCTTGACAAATAAGTGTAAATTTTTATTTTTTAAATCTGGCTGACTGGCAAAGATTAAAAATAGTCCGAGGGATGCAGAGATTAAGTCAGCCAGGGCCCCCCACCCTGGAGTTCACTCAGGTTGGGGAAAAAGAAGAGAGCTTTAGACTATGAGCTCTGGACCATCCAGACCACCTGGGTTCTGACAGTGGATCTGTCCCTTATAAGCTAAGTGACCTCAGAGGTGTCACCTAATGTCCCCATACTCCCATTTCCTCATCTGTCAAATGGGTGACTACTAGCTATCTCACGTTTTAAAACACTTGCCTTTTTTTTTTTTTTTAAGGTTATTTATTAGAGAGAAAGAGAGCGTGCACGAGCAGGAAGGGGGCAGAGGGGGACGGAGATGGAGGGGGAAAGAATCTAGCAGACTCCACACTGAGTGTAGAGCGTGACGCAGGGCTCAATCTCACAACGCCGAGATCATGACCTGAGCTGAAACCAAGAGTGGGACACTTAACCAACTGAGCCACCCGGGTGCCCCTAAAACGCCTGCTTTTAAAAAGACCCCTTGGGACACCTGGGTGACTCAAGTCGGTTAAACGTCTGCCTTCGGCTCAGGTCATGATCTCAGGGTCCTGGGACTGAGCCCTGCATTAGGCTCCCTGCTCAGTGGGGAGTCGGCTTGTCCCTCTCCCTCTGTCCCTCTACCCCCTAGCTCGTGCTGTTTCTCTCTCTCAAATAAATAAACAAAATCTTAAAAAAAAAAGCTCTTTGTAGAAATGTCAATGGAAAGCTGAAACAACTCATGGCACCCACAAAAGCAGCTCAGGCTGGGAGTCTGAGACAGACCCCCCCCACTCCCGCAGTGGGCCAGACTGTCCCTCTGAGAACCCCACCAGAGTTCCATAGCGGCCCTGCAGTAAGAGGGCTGGCTGCTCGTTTTCGGGGACGGGGATGTTTTGCAGGCCTCTGCCAGACCTTCTGTCACCAGCATTCCCATCAAACGGCCTCTCCTGTGTTTCTGATTTGGGAAAGAGCTGGGAGCCCTCCCACGCCTGCTGCACGCTCTGCTCCAGCTGTTGGGGACAGACTCTGACTCTCTGCCTCGGTCCCTGGGGCTAGGGGCTGAACACAAGCAAAAACTTTTTCTCTTTCCTGAATGCTCTTCCTGGAGGTCCGGCCTCCCCTTCCCCAGGATGGAAGAGGCACAAGGCAAAGAGGGGAGCAGCTGCTTGTACCACATCTCCCAGGCTGGTGCTGGGGGTCCTGACCCATCCCTTGAGGGTGAAGAGGGCTAGTCGTAAATGGGTGAGAAGCTCTCCCTGGAGGATGAAGAAGGAGAACCCTGGGTTAACTGTCAGTGGTAACACCTATGCAGACCTTTCTTCGGGGCGCTCTATTAGGCACTGGGGGCAGAGAGGGGTGATCAAGACCACTCCTGCCCTTCCATTAGGTTCCTGGTGGGGAGGATCAAACACAGTGCAAGGGCTCAGGAGAAGCCCACCTAAGCTGTCTAGCAAAACCCCCAAAACTCAAACTTTTCTCATTTAACCAACACGTACAGACTAAACAAGCCAACTACAATCAGGAATGACTTTGGGAAGTTTGATCTACAGGGAGAAAGCTGAGTACACCTGCCACCGATGCCCCTCCCTGACATGCAGAAGAGAAAGGGCAGGAATGCACAGGAATTCAAGTTCAAAGAAGGCTGGTGAGGTCAGCTCGCCCTTGCTGGGCATCAGAGCAGCCCCCATCCTGCCCTAGGCTTCCACTACCCAGCGCAGGACCTGCCAGGGCTGGGGCTCAATAAATAGTTAGGGTCAACATATACATTCATAGAAAGAACAAGATGGAACTTTCTTAGCACTTTTGGTCTTAACCATTCTTGGTTTGAGGACTATTTTGAAGAGAAGCTGAAGCAAATTGTGGCAATTTTATTTTTTTTAAATAATGTAGTTCAATGGCTAGGTCCTGAAAAATTCTGAAGGTTTCTGAGATCAATAAAGAAGAACCTAGCTTCTTTGGACCTTGGAGACTCCAGTTTCAACCTTCTTGCTGATGAGACTGACATCCAGGAAACTGCCAAGAGAGGTGGGGTAGGGGTGGTGAGAGGCTTACAGTAGCTGCTCAGATTCCACAGCAGCACCTGTTCCTTCTGACTGGGATGCCCAACCTCAGTGAAGTCCCAGAAAAATCACAGAACCCATCTGGTCTCAGTTTCAGAAGAGAGCCACGGACCGGAAGGCTTCCTAGACATCATCCTTCAAGTCTGAAGACCTGCTTACAGAACAGTGACCTCAGAGTGTGGGAGCTCTGAGTATCTCGCCCTAAATGGGCTTCCTTTGGAAAATATACGAATTGGGCTGAATAGGACTGGTCCCCCTCAAAAAAGCTGTTTGGAGGCCAGTGTCTGAATCTCAAAAATATCCTGAAACCTCTGGCTATGTGGCCAAATTCTGGACACTGCTTGGGCACTGTGACTCCGTGGAAGTTCATCGCTAAAGACTGCAATTGTCCCTGAGCACTGTCACTAGAAAGACAAGCGTGGAGTCAGAACAGAGGTGGCGTGGGCCAACGTCAGCCCTCGGGACTCAGGAGAGCAGTAACCCATCTCCCTGCCTGGGGCGGAGCTGATCCATACTGTGATCCTTACCGCGGCATGTTGATAGGCACATCTCTTTGCACAATATGACCAACCTAAAAGATAAATCACTCTAGGAACTCCCCAGAAATGATCTCAGCAATCCCTACACCCTTGGGTGAGGTACATATGATGTCCCTTCTACAAACCAGGAAAACTGAGAGTTTGCAGAGGTAAGGAAGCTTGCCCAAATCACACTGATGGAGTCAGAGCTAAAAGTGGGCCAGGAATCCAGGCAACCTGACCGCTAGCCCTGGACTCTTGCCTTTCTATCATGTTATTTCTCAAACTTACAAAACTAAAATCCCCTCTCACTGCAGGCCTGTGGCTTCCAGCTGGAGCCCTGCTGGAAGTTGTGCCTGCCTGGGGGTGCAGCCAGGGGGGTGGAAGGGGCAGGCAAGAGTGGGGACTCCATGTCCACGCTACAGGGAGGTCTGTGACGTGCACACATCTGTGTCCCCAGGCCCATGGAGAGACTGCCTGCAGGCCCTGGAGGACGGCCATGATACCAGCTCCATCTACCTGGTGAAGCCAGAGAACACCAACCGCCTCATGCAGGTGTGGTGTGACCAGAGACATGACCCCGGGGGCTGGACTGTCATCCAGAGGCGCCTGGACGGCTCTGTCAACTTCTTCAGGAACTGGGAGACCTATAAGGTGAGGACCCTGGGCCTGTCTGTGCTGCCCACAAGGTGACTGGGCCACCCCAAGAGCCTGACAACCAGTGAGAGAGCCACTTGGGGGGAAGGGGCATGTTGACCTGTCAGGGCCTTTGTGGCCCCATGCAAGAAAACACTTGGGGTGAGAAAGACACTGGACGGGGTCATTTTTGCACACCCACCACGGATAGTGGGGAGCAGTAGCCCCTTCCCTGCTTGCCACTGGCAACTGCTGCAAGATACGACTTAGGTGTGTAGACCACACAAGGCCCGTGGACATGGTGGGAATTTCGAAATGCTGGTGTGGGGTGGCCCCTCACCCCAGCCCGGGTATGGGGAGCATTCTACTCCCAGCTGGGGCTTCCGGGGGAAGACCTATTCTCGCAGCCCAGAAGGGGCAGGTCCCAAGGGTCTGTTGTAGGGAACTGCAGGAATACTCGGGCCCTAGTTCCCAGGAAGTTGAGTGCTCATCCTGGTGGCAGGAAAGGCTGCTGGGCTCAGCCATATTCTGCCCCCTTCCTCTAGACAGAGCGGCACTAAGGATGGCAAGAGTAGCTTGGTTCACCGCATGCCGCCATGCTCCATGCCAAGTGCTCCCATCTATTACCTGCTTTAGTTTCACACCAATCCGAGCACGGACATACGAGTATGGACCCAGGTTACAGATGAAAAGAGGAAAAAACCTGCTCGGGGCTGCACAGCTACACAGTGGCAGAGCAGTGAGCCAAGGCCTCTGACGCCAAAGCTTACAAATTACCCTGGCCATGACGTTCACATGTGGCTTTGCGTGGCCCCTTCCTGTCCTGGCTGCTCCCAACCTACCTCCTGCCCAACCTGTGTCCTTGCTTTCTTCTCTTTCTCCTCTGCTTCCTAACTGAGAGGTTCCTGAAGACCCGCTCCTTCACCCCTCCCTCCTCCTGCCCATAACATTTTTCTCCAAGGCAGCAGAGCACAGTTGTTAAGACTGGGCTCCTGGTTCAAATCCTGGCTCACACACAGGCTCTCTGTGACCCTGGGCCTCTGTGGACCTCGGTTCACCCATTCTAGGGAAGATAATAATAGTACCTAGCTCTTAAGAGTTGGCACGAGGATTAATAAAATAACCTATGTAAAATCCCGAAAATAGTGCCTATATACTGTACTTGCTCACTAAATACTAGCTATTGTTATCATTAATGAGCCCATCTATTTTTAAGACTTTGAGTGCCACCACCTGGCTGATGATTCCTTAAAAACTACACATAAAAACGTAACAAAACCACTGATTTTAGACCTAGAAAGGAGCCCGGGTGGGATGCGGCACACACTTGTCACAGCCCATTCCTGTCTGGTGCAGGGAGCTTACACGAGACCCTCACACAACAGCTCATTCCCAGACAGGGACACGGACACTCAGAGAAGGGAAGGATTTGTCCAAGGAACTCTTGTTGCATGCCTACTGTGTGTTTTGGGCTCTCAGTTTACCTCATTACATGCGTTCCTACAACATGGTAGGGAAGGCAACTGACAGTGTCCTCTGTGTTCACACCATGCCTGGCACACAGTAGGCACTCTTTAAAGAGTCTTGAATGATGCATGTTTGAGGCTCAGACGGGCAACGTGACTCATCAAGTCACAGCCAAGTACAGAAGTGGGGATTTGAACCCAGGCCTACCTAATGCTCTGCCCATTTCCGGTCTCCTCTGTCCAGGGCTGGGCATCCAACAGTGGGGCCCTGCTGGCTGAGGGCACTGCACACCTCACGAATGCTCTCCTCTGTTTTCCCCAGCAAGGGTTTGGGAACATTGATGGCGAGTACTGGCTGGGCCTGGAGAACATCTACTGGCTGACGAACCAAGGCAACTACAAACTGCTGGTGACCATGGAGGACTGGTCTGGCCGCAAAGTCTTTGCAGAGTACGCCAGCTTCCGCCTGGAGCCTGAGAGCGAGTACTATAAGCTGCGGCTGGGGCGCTACAACGGCAACGCTGGGGACTCCTTCACTTGGCACAACGGCAAGCAGTTCACCACCCTGGACAGAGACCATGATGTCTACACAGGTAGGACCCAGTACAGGGCAGGGCAAAGAGGTCAGCCAAAGCCAGAGCTTCTGACTCAGGGCCTGAGAACAGGAAGGTCCCAGGGCCCAGTGGCCCGACCCTGTTCCTACTCCCTAAAGGTCCACTCCTCTGCCCACAGACCCCCTTCACAAAAGTTGGGTCAGAGTGGCATTTACAAAAGGGGAAAGGGAAAGAGGTGTACAGATTACACATCTGTGGGCCACTCTGGGCCAAGCGCTCACATCACTTCTCTGCCTGAGGCATCAGGTGTCACGGCCACACACCTGGGTGATAATGCTGGCCCTGCCTCCTACCAGTCATGTGTCCTCGGACGACGCTGCCTAATCTCTCTGAGCCTCATTTCCACAACCGGAAATTAGTACAAGGCATACCTTGCAGGGTGGTGAGAAGGTCAGAGACAAAGTACCTCGAGTGCTTTGTCTGGGACTTGGCAAATAGGGCTCAGGCCAAGTGGGCTTTTTTTTTAAATTTTATTTATTTGACAGAGAGAGAGACAGAGAGAGAGGGAACACAAGCAGGGGGAGTAGGAGAGGGAGAAGCAGGCCTCCTGCTGAGCAGGGAGCCCGATTCGGGGCTCGATCCCAGGACCCTGGGATCATGACCCGAGCTGAAGGCAGATGCTTAACCGTCTGAGCCACCCAGGCACCCCTCAAGTGGGCTGTCTTTGTGGTTACTATTATTAGCACGTACTGGTAACGAAGTGCAGTAAGGGAGCTATTAAAGACAGGTAGGAGACACGAAGTGATTTGTCCAGGGTCACATGCCTCAAAGCCAGGTCTTTACTAAGAAGATTTTATTAAATAAAAAACAAGGAAGAGAGCAGAAAATTGTAAGAGGCACAGATATAGTCCAGCCCTGAGTCCAGATGTCTGCCTCGCCCCATAGTGAAGCCTCTCGAGGCCCCACACCCAGTTTCCTGACATGAGGGCCTCTGGGCCCTAGCTCCCTGGCAAAGCCAGTGAGGCGCTGCTCCTGTCTGAGGGGCCAACCCTACCTCCAGGCCAAGGCTGTCTGTTCTCATGGGCAAACTTGGCCCCCTCCCTGCCCCCTCCATTTAGTACTGGTCTGCAGGCTACTACCTCCTCTTTAAGGACTGTCCTAGGAACTACCTGCTCTTGAGGCAAGCTCAGCTACCTACATATGGAGGAGGGAGGGCCTCACTCCAGGTGCCCATGGCAGGCACGCTCTAGCAGGCTGTTCTTACCACACGGGGGGACATTCAGGCACCTGTCTTCTGACTGGCCCCGAAGGGGCCCCGAGGAAGCAGTATGTCTTCTTTGGCCAGGGCTGCCAAGGCTTCCAGGAAGAGCAGAGCAGGAAGATGACCCTCAGAGCTGGGCAGATTCTGGGGACACAGGGCCGGTACAGCATTTCTTGAGGGCCATCATGGAGAGCAGGGAGAAGACTGTCAGGCCTGTGGGGCAGCACAATCAGTGGACGGCAAGGAAGTGAGCTCCTTGTCCCTGGAGTCCTGCAGAGCAAGCTCAGGCTTCCACTCACACGGAAGGCTAGCCGTGGCATGCCAAGGGCTCTTTTTGCTCTGCAAATCCAGCACCGCCATTTGGTCCTTATGGCCTCAAGTGATGGCCTAGAGGAGCCTGAGAAAAATTCTGGGAACACCTGGACTGCAGAGGCTCTGGGTGCCTGAGCGGAGTCTCCCTTGAGCTTCTGCCTCAGCCAGCCTGCTGCCTCCTCATGTTATCTCAAGGCCTCAGCTGGAGCAAGGCCATCAGCTCCATTGGGCCCCAACCCCCAAGCCTGCTTGAGGCAGCCTTTCCCTGAGTGGGGGGTCCCTTTCCCAGGCCTGCTCAGGAAACTGGGGACCCCCTCTTTTAACTAAGAGCAGCCCAAGCAGCCAGAGGCTCCTCTTCCTCGTCCTTCCGGAGAAGGCCAATGTCCCTGCACGCCTGCTTGCACCTTGCCCACACTTTTACTGGTGTTCCGAACTGCTTGTCCTTGGCAGCAAAATCCAGCCTGATGTGATAGTGCCAAAAGTTTTATGACAATATCTTTCTTTTGTGAAATCATAAAAAAATATTTGGCTGGAATACAGGCTGGGAGGAATAGAGGAGCATTTCATCTTAAACACTTCCTTTGTCATTCTATAAAAACTCTTGATCCAACAGTTGCAACTCTTAAAAAATGCCTAAGAACCCGGTGGCCTCTCCCCCGCCCACCCCAGATCATTCTGCTTCCTATCCAAACCCCCCCAGGCGCTTCCCCCGCACATGCCCTGGGCTAACTGCTTAACTGTGTGCCCTCCTTCCATCCCAACAGCAGTCCTATGGGGGAGGCACCATGCTTAGGACAGCTCAGTGGCTCTGCGAGTTGCAGGTCACAAGGCCGAGCCTCAGAGGTTAGAGCAAACCTGAAGCCCAGCCCACCTCTCAAGCATTCCTGTTCCAAATGCCCCCCCCCCCACCAGAGAGGGCCCCGCTAAAGTCCCCGAGCAAATGACGGACTCGGATGAAACTGACTCTTCCCTTGTCTCCTGCAGGAAACTGTGCCCACTACCAGAAAGGAGGCTGGTGGTATAATGCCTGTGCCCATTCCAACCTCAATGGGGTCTGGTACCGTGGGGGCCATTACCGGAGCCGCTACCAGGACGGAGTCTACTGGGCTGAGTTCCGAGGAGGCTCTTACTCGCTCAAGAAAGTGGTGATGATGATTCGGCCCAACCCCAACACCTTCCACTAAGTCAGCGGGGTCCCCTCCTGACCTCTCGTGGCCGTCGCCAGGAGCCTGCCCCGGCCACAATGCCCCAGCACCAGGAGCAACTCCCCATCAGTTCACCAGGGGGCCGGGAGGATGGGGCCACTGGATTCTGTTTTCCCAAGTCACTGCAGCAGATAATGGAATGGAATCGACACAGTATTCTCTGTCCCTGTTGCTTTTCTTCCTATCAGAGATCCCCTCAGGCTTCCACACAGCACAGGACTACAGACAAATCCTTCTTCAAGGAAATTAAATCCCAGTAACAAAACACGACTGCACAATACCTTCATAATACACGTGTGTGAGCCGACCTTATGCACGTGTGTGTATACCACATATATATGCACTTAGATATATACCACGGGTACTATATCTAGATACATATATAGGTTTGGTTATATACCTAAAAACACATACATTCAATTCTCAGATGTTGACGTTGTTACCAACAGCTTTGCTCTTAGGAGAAAAGCGTTGCATTCATTGTGCTCCTTGAGCCTAAGAGCCAATCACAGACTGTGTAGTTCCAATTCAAAGAATAATCCTTGGTGTCCACATGCCGGGATTCTTTCAGGAGTGTCTACACACTATTCGCTCACCTGGGGGCTCCCTCCTTCCCTTAAAGAACCCCTTTCGGCACCTGATCAAATTTCAAAATCCCCCTCCCTCTCCACTTCTAGACTTCCCTACATTCTCAGGACTTTTCCACCATCCATCATGCGTCTATCCATCCATCTATCCATCCATCCATCCATCCATCCATCCATCCATCCACTTACTCCTTCATCCAACACCATTCAGGAAGTATCTTCTGTGTGTCAGTCCTTGGCCACTCACTGCGGTTCCAGGTACCTTCTCTGCTCTTCTGTACACCTTCCTACCCACTCCTTACCTTTTCTGTCGTTTCATCCTTTCTTTCCAGGCAAGATTCCTTAGCCTCTGAGTAGAAAACAGTGTGGGCTCCAGGTTTCTGGTCAGGAAAGGGAAGGCCAGGCCCGACAGCTAACTCCCAGCCACATAGATAATGTATTCGCAGTTTTGTATGTTCCATTCACACTTTAGCCTCCAAGTCATTTTAACCGTCACAGAAATAATAACCTACCTTGCCCAGGAGATATTCAACTGAAGAGAAGTCATCACCCGATCGTTGGGGCCCCCGAATGGCTACAGACCAAAGGTCCCATGCTCTCAGGCCGACTAGAGTCCACATCTCGTCCCCAAATGACACTTCTCTGGAGAACAGGTGCCACAAAAATGACAACTGGCCACTTCTCATGAGCTCCTGAATAGCCAGGAGCTATTCCCCGGACCTTGTGGCTGGTGCGCTGCAGCGTGTGGCTTTCTGAGTCCTGTTGGCCATGAAGTGTCAGACTCAGTACTGCCGGGACTCTTGCCAAGCAGGGAGCAAGAGATGAGTCAAGAAGGTGAGACTGCCCCGGTGGGCGCGTGAATGGGGGTGTGCGAGATGTTGGAACGTTTGGTACTGTCCATGTCTGGGTGTGTGCCTATTACCTCAGCGTTCTCACAAAGTGTACCATGTAGCATGTTTTGTGTATATAAAAGGGAGGGTTTTTTTTTTTAATATATTCCCAGATTATCCTTGTAATGACACAAATCTGCAATAAAAGCCATCAGTGCTATTTGGACGTATCTACACTGTGTGTTATTGTTTTAGGATGCCTTCCTGGGACCTCTTATAGCAGAGCCTTTTTGAGTAAAACCAGGAATAGAGTCAGCATCAGGGACATACACCAAAATCACTTAAATCACACTCTCCCTATCTTTGGTTTCCACCTACACCATCAGGAGTCCCAAAACAGCACCCTGAAGGCTCTCTGGGGCTTCACCTCCTTACATCCAGCCATGTCCTCAATGTCTCCACTGAACGTCCTAGAAGCACCTCCTAGACAGTGCAACCAACCCCTGAAACGCCTTCCCCCAGGTCTGGTCCCACTTCAACAAAAGGCACCATTTATCAATTGCTCAGGTCAAAAACAAGGACTTTTCCCGCTGCCTTGCCAAGGCCAACCCATCCATCCGTCCACGGAAGCTCTCTTCTCTGCCTTTGTGTCTCCTCTCCCCTCAACTACTACAACAGGTTCCCCAAAGACCAGGAGCCCTGCCCCTCTGTCTCCCTCATTCCAATCCAACTTCCGTACTAGCTGCCAGAAAAACAAATCTGTGGGCTGGGAAGTCATCTCTAGGCATAACAGGAAAACCCCAAAACCAAAAAGGAAAAGACTAAGGGATATGACTAAAGAAAACCCCAAATCTTCTGCCCTCTGAAAAATAAAACATGACTGAGACTGAAGGCAAACATCAAACAAGAAAAATATGGGATTAATATTCATGCTATACTAAGAACTCTCTCAAATTAAGAAGAAAGATACAAATGCTGTGATAGAAAACTTTGTAAAGTATACAAACTCAATAGAACACAAACGGCCAGTAAACAAGAAAAGGTACCAACCTCAGTAATAACCAGAGAGGGACATTAAATCAAGCACAAACCACCACGTGGTGCCTATCAGATTGGTAAAGATGAAAAAATCTCCATGTTGACAAGTGGAGAAATAGGTACTCTGTGTATGCAAGTACAAATTGATTCAATATATTTGAAGAGCAACTTGGCAATGTGGGTACCAAATATGGATATATGCATGAATCAAAACTGAAAAACACTTATACCTGTGGACCCAGCAATCCCTGTTCTCAGTGGCCAAGTAATACTGCCACATGAGAGCTGTTTTTAGCAAAGATGCAGTTGGGGAGAGACAGATGTTTATTACAGCCCTATTGTGTGCTTGGAATTGGACTTCCTGTTTTCTTATGTAACCTTCACAGCAGCCCTGTGAAGAAGGGACTGTTCTCACTTCACAGGAGAGGAGAAAATGAGGCTCACAGTCAGATTGCTGGTAAGAATGCTCTAGCAGCAGTTAATCCAGAAGGTGCTGGGTGTCAGGCACTAAGTAAGAGTTCTCAACTTCCTTCTCCCAAACCTCTAGTTGGTTGTTGGGGTCATCAGCTGTCGTGTGCTATTTGGTGAGAATATCTCGACCTTGGCCTGCATCACAGCCAGGCCTCCTCGCACACCTCGAGTGCTGTGTCCAGGACATAAGGATTGATAGTAAAGGAAAACAGGGTCCATCCCGCCTTACTGGTCACTGGTCTTGGATCCAAACCCAAAGCAAAGAGTTCTGGAAAGCCATGCTGGACAGTGTGGAGCAACGCTTTTTCTAAACTAGTTGGGACCCAAACAAAAGCAGGCCATGATACCAGCTGTTTCTCCCAACCCCCACCCCAAAACCTGAACCTGAATTAAACCACACCCCGGCTATATGGAAGAAGAGGAAGGAATAAACCCATCAGACGTGTGGAACTAGCTCTCCTTGGTGTAAAATGGGGGTTTGACCAACAGCATCCAAGAAGAGAATGGAGGGGGGCGGGGGGCTCAAGTGCAATGCGCCTTAGTGTCTGGTGTGTGGCTCCACTGGCCAGCAAACGCAGCCAGTTGGCACCCTGAAGTCTGCTCAACTCAGACCAACACCACTCCCTTCTCTCCCATCCCAGCCAGGGACCTTTTAAGGCCTGCAGTCATAGGAGTGCCACTGTCACTAAGGTCTCCATGGTGAATGCACCCACAGACCTCAAGGAAGTCAGAGAAACCCAGACTTTCTCCTACCCCAGGCAAGCCCCCACATTCCAGTTTGGGCCAATACCTTGGTCGCTGGGGGCCACTGACCTGCTGGGCTTATGTGGGCAACAAGGCAGGAAGACAGTGATGTTCTCCAAGCAAGTGACACTGAGCAGGACCCCCTCCCCCAAATCTTGCCAATTTGAGCAAGACTGAAAAAGACACCTTTGAACTACTGAAAACAATGGTCATGGGAGTCTAGGATGCTCGTAATCTACAGATGCCTTTTGGGAGCTCCAAGGTCCTCCCTAATCTCCGGAGACCACTTCGTCTGTTATATGCAATCTTGTAAAGACTGGGTTATAGCAAGACAAAAGCAGACAACTGGAATAAACAAAAAGGGGATGTCTTAAGTGCAGCAAAATGTTTAAAAAAGCACTCTTTCTGCCTCGGTTTTATCTGAGACACCAAAGCTAAGGGCAAAATAAAAGCTGCCAAGTGTCCCATATTCTAGAGCAGGGTGCAGGACCATCCCTGTGGGAGGGTGGCCCCAAACGGATTCTACATTAGAGGACTGCCCATCTGTAGCCTGTGTAAGAAGTGCAGAAAAAATATCCCGGGGTAGGGGGCAATGAGGGGTCCTTACCATATGCTCCCTGGCCACCACCACCACAGGACAGGTGGGTGCTCTCCCTCATCCTAAATCAAGGGAGAGGGACTTCGAGGGACTGTTCCAAAGGAGTGGCAAGGGCCAGCATTGGCACTATCAGCAGACTCATGGCTCGAGTCCCCAGGTCTGTGGCAGAGAGAAATGAGAGCAGACCAGAGCAAATGCCAGGCCCACAGAGGGACACCGCGGAGGCAAGGATATGGCCTCCTAGGAAGCGGAGGGCAGCCTGAAGGGTGGGGTGGAGGGCGGTGCAGGGGGGCCCAGGAGCCAAGGAAGGAGCCGTAAGTGGTGAGGTGGAGGTGGAGTATCACCCCATCACAGCGGCTGAGTCCAAGGTGCCCAGAAGGGAACCTGTCTGGCAGCAGCCGCCACCGAAGAGCACAGGTGCTTGAGCATCTGGTATACCCACAGGGCATGAGCTCTGAATGACGACTGGATGGGCCACATAAGATGGGCCTTGACCCCTCCTTTTTTCCTCTCCCCTGGTCCAACCCCAAGGCTGACAAACCTTGGTGGGCGTGCAGGAGGCAGGAGGGCTGCAGGGTCCAGTGACAGCGCTGACTGTGGGCCCTCCCTCACCCCAGACCTCTGAGTCTGGTCGGGCTTCACAAGTCCAGACCTCTGATTGCTACGCTGGGCTGTCTGCAGTGACCGGGTGATTAGAACAGATGCAGCTTTTTCATGCCTAACGGCAGAAAGACAAAGAGCCTTGCTAAGCTTTCAGCATCGACTGGGAAAAGAGCTAGTCCACAGGGTAGGCTGGAAAGGACACCGGGGAAAAAATTAAGTCGGTTTCTTCTTACACCTGACTGAATCCAGCTCATTTAATAAGCTGGTTACATAAGGACACGAGGTATCTCCCAGAGTCCATGAGCAGAGACGCAGCTGGGCCTCACGAGGGCCAGGAACCAGAAATTGCCTGGAAAGCCTTCAAGAGGCAAGGCAGGAGCTTTCCCAGATTTTCCCCCTTCTTTTCCTTTTCCCTCACTTGCAGGTCTCTCTGTTTCTCATTGTGCATCCATCTGCTTTTCCCAGCATGGAATTCCTGAGCTCACATGTCCTCCTGGTCTCAGTGCCAACAAAGACTTACAAGCACCCTCCCTTCCAGGGCTCACTCCCGGCCAGAGGCTCCGACTGGCCCACTCGGGCTGGGTGTCCACTTCAATCCTATCAACTCTGGTTGGAATGAACACTGTTGCT